AAAATAAAATAAAATTCAAATAAAAATAAATAAAAAAATAAAAAAATCAGTTAAAATGACAATCAGTCTAATTGAAACAGTTGCATGTTATGGACTTGGCCTCAAGGATTCGTAGTTTAGATTTAAAAGCACTTAATGAAATAAATTCAGTCATTTTCCTTCTGCAGTTTGTTCCTGAGTTGAAGGTCTTTCAAATGAATTAAACAGCTGAACTTAAATGATCCACATAACAAAACCTGTCGTGAGCCTCATCCTTGCGTCGCCTTTGAGCTCTCAGAGCGTGTCGCCGAGCCTGAATTTAAAAAATAAATTCAAAAAAAGCGCCGTGTCACTAAACAATGAAAAATAAATATTTACAAAATATCTGCAGAATATTTATGTTACCTGGTTAACGGGACGTCTGCTCCTGAACTCTGCGCACAGCGTCCCGTTCATCTTTACTGTGAGCTCGTCTGTGGGCGGCGTTTGCTTTTAACGTGGTGGAGAACAGCTGCTCACATGTGTGGATGCAAAGATCGACTCCAAGAGGTATTCCGGTCTTGGAAAACTCTCCACTCCTCCTCTCTCCATTGTGATTGTGAGCAGGAGCGGCCTTCTGATGTGGAGTGTGATGCTTATTTTGAGTGACCAAAATTACAAATAATTTTATTTCAATATTTCAAGATCACAATAATCTTCAGATTTAGAACGAACACAAATAAAATGCACTTTGATTAAATACTCATACTGTGGCTCCGCGTGACTGAGGGGAAATCAATGATGAGGGATGAAAGAGTCGGCCCCTGGCTTAGAAGTGTATTAGGGTCAACATCTGTGTTATTGTTGTTATGTTCATTGTTAGTTTGGACTTAATATTGTTTCTGACTCCTTCGTCCTCTTTCTCCTGTAGCTGTGCTTTTATTTAGACAGAACTCTGGAAAAGTGTTTCCTCTTCAGTTATTACATTTGAGTCACAAACACAAAGGCTCATGAAAGCCTGAGGCTTTGTTCCAGCTCCTCTAAAATAAAAATTTCCATCAAAAGATTTTAAATATTTCTCTGAATTTGAAAACTGGGCCTTGATAAGCTTGACAAATCCTATCAATATTGTAAGTGATGAAGTTTTTCCAAACATCATAACAAAGTGCATTATTAAAGGGAACACAGTCAACAGAGCCGTGAATAAGACAAAATGAAAAGGGAGTGTTGGTTGACTTTGGTGCAGTTCGTACTTTATTCCCTGCGGTTCAATAAACAGAAGCTCGTGTAATCTCTCTCCAGGCTAAACAATGGACACAAAGTTAATAAAAGAAAATCAAGGTTTGCTTCTTCCTTTATCGTTGCCACAGTAGCGCTGCACAGGCCTCGGATGGTGTCGGGGATCTGCACTGTTTGATAAGGATTTTCATTTCTTTTCTACAGCAGCTCAGCTCTTTATTTGTCTGGATTTAAGCTTCAGATAAAAAGCAGACTGAGTTCTCGGGAACACACTTGTGTGCTTAAGCACGCCAACAACACGAAACACAGAGACATACTGGACACATACACACAGTCTGCTGTAGCTCAGGGGGCAGAGCAGGTCAGCC